AAGGAAGGAAGGAAGGAAGGAAGGAAGGAAGGAAGGAAGGAAGGAAGGAAGGGTTATACAAAAAGATTCCCAGTCAAAAAAAAGAAGTCAAAAGGAGGAGGAAGGTTCATAGTGTTTTATTTGCAATCAGGACACCTGGAAACTAAGGAAGGAAGGAAGGAAGGAAGGAAGGAAGGAAGGAAGGAAGGAAGGAAGGGTTATACAAAAAGATTCCCAGTCAAAAAAAAGAAGTCAAAAGGAGGAGGAAGGTTCATAGTGTTTTATTTGCAATCAGGACACCTGGAAACAGTTAGGCCAAACCAACCTATCAAAAATTGACTGCTTTCTGAACATAATCAAGAAGTACATGAAATCTTGTACTTGCAATGACATAGTCATGAGGATAACATTCAAAAAGCATAGGTCGTTACAAAGGACAGTGCATCACTTGAGTAATAATTCACTCACTGGTCAAATATAGAGAAAGGTGTGCCTACAGGATATCTTAAAATGTTTATTTGACCTCACCTGAATAGTACTAGCCAAGGATTCTTCATACCCAAACAAAGGTGTCTTTCTCTGATATGAAGCTAAAATCCTTTTTGACCCAGACACTGCAAAGTTTGTGGCAGGGCATACAGAATTTGGGGCAGGATATGAGCTTTTATGAGTCATTTTCTCGAGCATCTGAAGAAGTGAGCAGCGACTCACGAGAGCTCCTCCCCTGCCACATATAGTGTTAGTCTTTCAGGTGCTCCTGGACTCTGGCTCTTTTCTGCTGCTACAGACAGACATAGCAACCCACCTTGATCTAACTGATCTCCAGATGGCAGAGATAATTTCCCCAGGAGAAAACAGCTGCTTTGGAGTGTAAGGTAAAGGTAAAGGTAAAGGTTCCCTTGCTCGAAAGCCAGTCGAATCCGACTCTAGGGTTGCGGTGCTCATCTCCGTTTCAAAGCCGAAGAGCCAGCGCTGTCCAAAGACGTTTCCGTGGTCATGTGGCCGGCATGACTAAACACCAAGGCGCCCGGAACGCTGTTACCTTCCCCCCGAAGCGGTACCTATTTATCTACTTGCAATTTCTTGCTTTCGAACTGCTAGGTTGGCAGGAGCTGGAACTAGTGTAGACCCTAGTAATCATATCCCGCCAAGGTCCCTCCCCTCCCCAAACTCCGCCTTCCCCAGACTCCACCCCCAAATCTCCAGGCAAGTTACCCAAGGGAGACAGGAAGAGGGCAGTCAACGACTTCCTTGCACTGCCTCCCCAAAGGGCTTAATCAACAGCTGGCTGAATTGACTGGAGAGTCCTGTGTATGGTGTGAGAGCCAGTTTGGTGTTGTGGTGAAGTGCGCGGACTCTAATCTGGGAGAACCGGGTTTGATTCCCCACTCCTCCACTCGCACCTGGCTGGATGACCTTCTGATAAGAGCTGTTCTTGAAAAAGAGCAGTTTCTGTCAGAGCTCCCTCAGCCCCACCTACCTCACAGGGTATCTGTTGTGGGGAGGGGAAGGGAAAGGAGTTTGTAAGCCGCTCTGAGACACCTTTGGCTAGTGAAGGGTGGGGTATAAATCCATTCTCTTCTTCTTCTTCTTCTTTTACCTCACAGGGTGTCTGTTGTGGGGAGGGGAAGGGAAAGGAGTTTGTAAGTCGCTCTGAGACTCGTTTGGGTAGCGAAGGGCAGGGGATAAATCCAATCTCTTCTTCTTCTTCTTCTTTTACCTCACAGGGTGTCTGTTGTGGGGAGGGGAAGGGAAAGGAGTTTGTAAGCCGCTCTGAGACACCTTTGGCTAGTGAAGGGTGGGGTATAAATCCATTCTCTTCTTCTTCTTCTTTTACCTCACAGGGTGTCTGTTGTGGGGAGGGGAAGGGAAAGGAGTTTGTAAGTCGCTCTGAGACTCCTTTGGGTAGTGAAGGGCAGGGGATAAATGCAATCTCCTCTTCTTCTTCTTTTACCTCACAGGATGTCTGTTGTGGGGAGGGGAAGGGAAAGGAGTTTGTAAGCCGCTCTGAGACACCTTTGGGTAGTGAAGGGCGGGGGATAAATCCAATCTCCTCCTCCTCCTCCTCTTCTTTTACCTTCCATGGCATCCGCTGAGTTTTAGAAGTCCTTCACAGATCTTTCATTTTCGTTTATTGTTTTCCCGCCAAAATCCGGTGGAAAAAACTTTCTCTCTCCCACCCCCCGCCTTGCCTCCCAAGTGTGCACGACAATCTCTTGTTTTCAGACTCTGCATGTCAGTGAACTCTTGAAACGACAACTTTGCATGCATGTTAAGATGGCCAGTCTTCTCCTGGGAGCCCTGTCCGGCAGGGAAGTTTTTCCCTTGGCATTTGTTCAACACCGATGGGCCTAAACCTCCCAAGCACTCGACTCATCACTGTCGTTCACACTTGAAAGAGTAAACCCTGTCAATCCAAGGCTGACTCATCAGCATCTTTTTGCACCGATCTGTCAAGTCCAAGGGGCCCTCTGTACACTGAAAATCATCCACTGTGGCTTTGACAACAACACGAGAATCGGCAAGGTCATTTGGTTAATACGAAACTATTAATTGGTCATGGCGATAGACAGAAAGCGCTACTTTTCCTGACACATTCGAAAAGACAGAATGCCTCGGAAGACGAAGGCTTAGAAGCGCTTCGTGAAAATAATCACCTTGCGGGAGAAATGGGTGACGGGTCTCAGATGTTTGTTACCAAGCGCTCCCTCAGATATCTATCGGCGGGTGTGTTTTCGTGATTCAAGATAAATATCCACACCGCATCCCATCTTGACAGCTGAAGTCTGGCAGATCTCTGGCTACCTTCTCTGAGAAACCGCCTGCTCAAAAAAAAACCCCAAACCCCACGCCAGATCTCACAGACTCAGAGCATTATGACAGGCCGTTGCTTCAGCTCCCCAATTTTGATCACCTTCAGGGATATCGAGGCATGCTGAGACTGTCAGGCATCAAAGAGGCTCGTGTGAAGTTCACAGCTATCGCCTCAGGATTGCCCATTACCAAGTCAGTAT